CCGGGGCTGGGGATTTAGCTCAGCGGCATAAGCACCTGCCTTGCAAGCAGGTGGTCGTGAGTTCGATCCCTGGTACCGATAAAAAAAAAAAAAAAAAAAAAAAAAAAGACATGGACCCTGGAGCATAGAAAAATCACCCAATGATTAAACTGCAGTTTCCAGCCTCGGCAGACTGGCCTGCAGTTCCTGCAAGCTTCTGTTAACTACAGGGAAGACACTCAAACTGCCTGGTGGGGTGGCTTCTACTCAAGGCACCTTGCACTCTCCAGCTCTATACTGATCTGGGTGTGACCTAAGCCTGAGCCCCAAACTGTAGCTGTCACCTTGTGTACCCCACCTCCAATGCCATTGGTATTGGTCTCCCTGACTCTGACCTGGGCTCGGCACCTGACCTCTTGCCTTCTGGGTCCAGCTTTTGTTTTGACCTGTGCCCTCGCGCATCACTCTGGCATTGTCAGAGTCAGCCTGACATAAAATAAGCTGTCTTCTGGTTTAGATCTAAACGGTCCCCCGGAAGTCTCATGTGTAGAGGTGGCACCTGACTGGAAGGTGCAGAGCACTGGGCCACAGCTCCTTGGGTGTTTGCCTGCCCGTATCTCTCCCTTTCTCTCTCTGCCCCTGCCCGCCCACTGTGTCTTCCACTGCGCCCTTCTACCTTACAGTCAGCTAACCACTGAACCCACCGAAACTGTGAGTCAAACTCAACTTCTCCTTCAAATTGTGGGTGTCAGGTATTTTGTTCCACCAGTGGGAAAGTGACTGAAACACAACTGTGGCAAACCCTCATGCTTTTATCAGTGAAATGGGCACAACGAAGAGAGGTGGTGAGGTTTTAAACTGACTATATGTGAAGGCATTGGCATGTCTGGTCACAGTCAGAGGTCTGTTATCAGAACAGGATCCTCATCTTTACTGAAGAAGCAGTACCTCCGCACCATTATTGATGCCTGCCACAGCTGAGCAGTCAGGGTCTCAGGCATTGACCAGAAGGCTCCCAGGTAAATCGAGGTGAGGAAGCCTCTGCATGCCGTGCCGTGATGCAGCCTCTCTGTCCACACTCAGCTCATTTGTAACAAGGGAATAAGCCCTCTGTCCACCTCCCAGGTTGCCATGAGGAGTGAGTCAGATCACGTCAGGTCAGCGCTCAGGCCACATCTAAGATACGACCTGTGTTCAGTGTGAGTTGCTTGATGTCATCACTGCTCCTGAGCCCATGATCCCTCAGGCCAAGGGTGGCATAGGCTGCGGAGCCTGGTATGGCAAGGGCTCCCTGGAGGCCCTGTGTTGGGTGGGCGCTCATGCCAGGCCTGCAGGAGCAGTGTGCCATAGATGGTGGGCTGTGTTCTCTCTCAGGAGGAGGGGCTGCAGCTCTAGGTCCAAATGAGTCCTCAATTGGGGCCCAGACTGACGTCCTGCAGGCCCAGAGAGCTCTCTGTTCCTCCAGATATATTCCAGGGAAAAGCGCTACCCACAAACAGAGCACACTTCATGCCAGATTAAACACTGCAGACTTACTCAGTAACCTAAGTTACCAACCATGGAAAGAAAAAAAAATCCATTAACCAAAGCTTCACTTTAAAGAAGGGACTGAGCGTTTAGACCAAGCCCTCTGTGACGCACACCATTACTCACAGCCTGTGGTTCTCAGACTTAAAGACACAGAGATAGCTCAGAACACTGCTTCCCAAAACATACCAAATTCTCCAGCAAAACCATATACAGTAGTGAAGAGCACCAGTGGCAAGGCTGGTTTCTAGGTCCAGCCCCTGCTGCGACCCAGGGTAGAAGTGTACGGTGGAAGATGTTGGTGGCTACTCGGGGTCTCCTCCTGTGAAGAACAGGGGCTGCACTTAAAACACAAGCCACCTGCCAGTGTGGGGTGCACACCCTGGTCTCTTAGGAAGCTCCCGTGCAGGTCCTGGCCTTCTGGAGTGACTGAGAACACTGCTTCAGGAGCCACAGTGCCTGAGTTCAAACCTACCCTCCTCAGTGAGGGGTCGTGGGGCCTGACAGCCCCGGAGATTCTCAAAGGCTCAATTTCCTTGCGTGTGGATTCTGGTGACTCTGACACTTCCCGAGTGGGAATTCTGTGAGAATGAAATGGCAAATGGACCTACATTCATGGACAGAGTCCTTGGCACACACAGCCTCCCGTCATGGTCACTGCCACTCTTCTTTGTTTCTCCTTCTCACACACACTGAGCCTTGGTTTCTGCTGCTGGCTCCTCCCCGTATCCACTAGCTTTGCAAGCTTGCACTGTTAAGTTTAAAACTGCTCCTGAGGTTCCTCTTTCTTCCAACCATCCCAAGAGTATGAGAGGCTGAGAATTAAAGAAGGTAATTTAGTGCTGGATGTGGGGGCACATGCCTGTAATCCCAGCACTGGGGAGGCTGAGGCAGGAGGATTGTGATAAATTCTACCTGCCTAGGTTACACAGTGAGTTCAAAGTCAGCCTAAACTACACAGGAAGAGCCTGTCTCAAGAAATAAACACGAAAACAAACCAAAGACCAAGAAATTAGCTGTGAGCACTCATATTTCTAGGGGCCCATCACACACCACAGTGTTGACGAAAGATGCTGGTGTATCATATGTGTGTGTGTGTGTGTGTGTGTGTGTGTGTGTGTGTGTGTGCATGTGTGGTACTGAGGAACTCAAGGCCTTGACATCCCCAGCTCTCTCTCTCCATCTCTCTCTCTCTGCTTCTGTCTCTCCAAGATCATGCTAAGTTGCTCACACTGGGCTCAAGCTCACAATCCTCCTGCCCTGGTTCCATCAGCTCACTCTGGTCACATGCTAACCGAATTTAAATTAATGAAAAGAAAATGAAATTGAAACACCAGCCAGCTGCTGCTGAGCACCTAAAATGTTGTCAGCGCCCTGGATGGCCCGCAGTGTTCATTTCACTCAGTTTTCATTCATTGAATTTCAGTAGCTCTATGTAGTGGTAGCTACTGCACACTGCTAATTTCAGGAATCTTTTCCTGGAGTCTTATCAGCCCTGGTTCAGGGTTGCTTGGCAAAAGTCTGATGTGACACTCTGTGTACTCTGTGGATGGAGCCACAGAAAACCACGAGGATCAATGTCCGCCCACCTCTTCCTCGACAGCAGAGGCTGTGTGCTCTGGACACTGGATTTTCCCAGGGGTCCCTAAGCCTGTCCCCTCCACACTGCCCACCGGGTACCACGCTGCATCAGACAAGCCCAGGACATCTATTCTCAACCAGTGGTGCACGTCTGCGCCAGTGGGAGCTGGATGAACGCAGGTTCCCCGACCCTGCCCTTCCCGAGCTCTGTCAAGGAGCCTGGTGGGAGCAGCAGTCCAAGTTCTCATCAAGCACCCAATGAGAGGATTCTGTCATGCAGGTCTAGCTCTGAGAAACTCTGCTTCAGGAAGGACATATTTATCTGCTGGCCTTCTAAATAATTATAGCAGATTATTTTCCAGATTTTCCGAGACTGACACAGCCAGTGGGGAGCCAGGCAGTCATCACTGGGCGCTCATTCCTACAGCGTCAGGGATGGCGCCCTACCACCAAGCCCTGGGGCTTCCATTTCTCTTTCCTTTTTCATCTGAACACAGAGGTAAGGGGGTGTGCTTTTTATCTGCTGGGACAAACAGTAATGCAGGTGTGAAAGCATTTAAGGGGGAGAAGACGTAAAATGCCCTGGACAGACATCTACAACTCAGAGACACATTCTGCTTGTTCAACAGACAGTAAATGGATTTAACATCTTCAGAAAAATCCATGTTTTTAAGTACTCTGCAATACCTGGAGATACGGTAAGATGGGGCTCGTGCTGGGTCAGCAGCCTGATGTGATTAAGAACATAGCTCTTGTGGTTTATGTGCACAGACTCAAATCCCTGCTCCAGCACTCAGAAGCTGGGGGCCTTGGAGTGAGTACCTCAACCTCTGTTTCTTAGTTTCTTCAGCTAGAAAGGAGAATGATGTTAAATACCTCCACGGACGTTGTGACAGTTAATTGAACAAGCTGCTGTTTGTAAAGCACCTGGATCAATGGCTGGCACATGGCAGGAGCTGGTATGTGCTAGCTGCATAGGCATGGCTCTACACTGCAGCGGACAGCTGGAGCCCAGCAGCAGGCTCAGGTGAGGCTGCCACTGGAATTCCTCATATCCCTGTCTCACCCTTTTGACTGGGGGTACCTGCACCTGCCCTTAGACGGGAAACACACTGGCTGATCTTACAGTTTATTCTCAGCTGTTGACGTGCAGGACCAGGCTGATTTAGTTCCAACCCATTGTGGACCTTGACAGCATGGTGGACACAGCACAGACTGTGAACGATTCACCAGGTGAGTTCTACAGCACCTCGAAGGTCTATCCCCCAAGGGGTAAGATGAGCCGAAGGAGCTTGAGGGCTTGGATGGTCCAGCAATGGTGAGACCATGCCACCTCCACTTCCAATGCTGCCCTCTCAGGTGACACATGGCTGTCATAAACCAACTTTGTGGAAAAGGGCGTGCATGAGACTCGCCTCCCCACCTCTTTGGGTAGCTCACTTCATTTCTGTCTATAGAACTCTCCTTTTCACTGCACACTGACGTCAGCGCCCTGTTTGATACTGGTGCACAGAGCAGACTTACAGCTGCCTTGGGAGCCTTGAGGTTCCCAGCAGCACCTGTTTGGGCTGGCCACAACCCTAATATCTGCCTCAACCTGTGTCCACACCCTTGGCTGGCTCCCGGTCACTCTCCAGCAGCCCAAAGCCAATGGCTAGGGCCACAGTGGAAATGTGAGCCAATAACAGCACAGTTCACCCTGAGGACCCCCAGTGGGTAGGCTGGGGTGGCCTCTGGAGGAGACATCATTCCTCACGTGGCCCTCTGGCCCTGTCTGGTTTTTCTCACCCTCCTCCTCAGGTGTCCTATAACTCAAGCCCAAAACCACACTGAAATCCTGAGGGCAGGCACCAGATATGTCACCCAGAGATGAACACGGCTGGCTGATGGACTTCCTGGGCATCAGAGCCTACCTGTGGTGTTGGACAGGGCCAGTGATTCCATGGAGCCTCGGGGAGTCTGCTCTGTGGGTGTCATGTCCTCTGTGTACTTCAGTGAGCTGATTGGGAGGCGGGTCCGGCATTGCTGGGCAGCCATGCCCCCTGCCTCCTCCTCTTCTTCCTCATACTTGGGGACTTGGATGCTGCCCCGGGTTTCACTGAAGCTCTGACTGGACATGTCGCTGTAGCTCTCCTGGGACCGCAGCCGCCCTGGGTAGTAGTCCTCACGGCACTCCTTGATGAAGCTGCCACCGTGCCCCTTCATGGCCAGTGATGAGCTCCTCTTGGGGTTGCTGAAGTGCTTGGGCCACATGTCGGGCTGGGCCCCGGCGCCCTGTCCTCCTGGGCTGTAGGAAGTTCTGATGTTGCACTGGCTGAGCAGCTGCAAAGGACTCTGGGACTGGCTCTGCTCCATCTTGTTCCCGTAGTGGTAGGGCTCCTCTCGGCTCCTCCAAATGGGATCCCGGTTGAGGCTGGGGGTCTGGCTGGACAGGCTGAGCAGGTCCATCTGCAGGGACAGGGGGTCCACGTCTGCCGACAGCCGGTTCGAGCTCACCTGTAGCTGGTTGTGCGGGCTTAGCATGGCCTCCTCGGTCTTGCTCTTGTTCTTCCCAATCTTTGCGCTGCGCCGGGACTCCTTGGCTCTAGCGTTCTGGAAGGCCGAGTCAGACGAGTCAGAGCCGTTGGGGTCCTCGCCAGCACTGCAGGCTCGGGAGCAGAATATCTGGCCCTGCTTTGGGAGGAACGGCCGCCCCAGGAGGGACTTCTTGCAGTGAGCGCAGCAGAAGCAGGTCTCAGTGGCATGCCAGTGCTGGCCATCATAGGTCATCTGACCCTGGTCGATTCCTGGAGAGACCAGACAAAGGAGAGGCTGAGGGACAGTAGGGAACCGCCCTGCCCAGGGGAATAACATGCCAATAAGCCAGCAATTAGGCCCCGGGTACCCAGCATTCACATCCTATGTGGCCTGTCCTGCCTCTGGCTCCTTCCTATCTCACTTGCTACCCTCGACATCTAGGCCAATGAGGCCCACCCAAGAATTCTGCATGGGACAGCAACATAGGCTGAGCACCTCTCAGGCAACAGTCTGAAATGAAAAGCTCCTAAAATCAAAGCTTTGAATGCTGACATGACAGCGTGAGCAGGAGCCTTCATACAGGGAAACTCTGCACCATGCAGAGAACTATTAGCAACAGTATAGAAAATGAGGGGCCCCAAGGGAGCTGTCTCATTCCCGCTGGGGGCAGCCGTGAGGAGTCAGTCAGCCCTTGGGCCCGCTGCAGGTGGAAAGGGGCCTGGGGAAAGAGTGAGTCCTCCCGGGGAGGCAGCACCATGCGAGCCCCCACCTCTGGAAGCGGTTTCTGGCTCTAGAGGAGCCACAGCAGGACACTGCAGGCCAGAAGGCAAGGACAGGAGGCACAGAGTGAAGCAGCCCCTTCCCCGCCCGCTCTCCCTCACCCACCCTTACACAGAGGCCAAGGCAAATTGTTCTCTATGACCCCCTCCCCAGCAATGAGGGTGGGAATCTCTCTTCATCTGGGAGCCTGGCCCTATGGACAAATGGGGCATCATGGAGATGGGAGGAGCCTGGGGGTCACTGATAAGAAGCCAGCACTTCGTGAATGAACCCATTGCTCTCAGGAGCAGTGAGGACAGCCAGCTGGGAGGGGCTTGGAGCAGAGCTGTCTCACATCTGGGGCTCTGGGACACTTCCTCCCTGGACCCCTGGTGTCCCCGGGACTGGATGCACAGTTCTGCATTAGCTGAGAGCGAGGTTTCAGTACAGAGGCAAACACAGGTTCAAATCCCCTTCCACTCCCTTGGTTCAGTCTTAGCTCTGCCGCGCTCCAGCTGTGCACCTTCAGCAGCTGATTCTGTGCCTGGGCTGTGGGGAGGGTCCCTGCAGAGGCACAGCTGTAAGCCCAGCCATGGCTCCACAGCCTGGCTGCCCTCTCCATGTCCCTTCTCTCTGGGCCAGTGTCTTGTGAACTCACACTGGCATCCCTGGCTCCCTCGGTCCATGCCCAGCACACAAGCAAGCTGGTATCCTGCCTGCTCTGTGCTGGAGGTTTGCGAGCAGGGCGGGCCCCAGGCCTGCCCTCCACCAGCAGCTGCTCAACACTTCTGTGACAAGGAATGGTCCTCTAGTCCTCCGCAGCAGCAGCAGCAGCCTGGTTCCCTGGATGGGGCCTCGTGGAGAACGGGCTGGGGAGGGGTGGGCAGAGGGCGGGCGTGTCATGAAGCAGCCCAGCAGGCAGCAGAACGTGGGCCCTGATAAACATCAGCGATGTCAGATGGTCCTCTGAACTGCCCCTGAACTCGGAACATCTGGAAAAGGACTCTGCCCTGCAACATCTAAGCATTCCTTTTTTTATTCTCTCTCTAAGCCCTTTAATCACTTCTCCGAGGGTGTCTGTGTCTAGTGCAGCCACAGCCTCGCTCTGTTTATAGGACTGTTTATTCGGTTCTGTGCAGGCAAGAGTCCCGTTGCCTTAGCAACGGTGGCCCAATGCAGGGTCTGCTCTGCGTAGCTGGATAAATATGGAATGTTTGTACAGTATGGTCAGGGGCACAGCACCCCGAGACAAAGGGCCGCATGACACAGTGCACAGATTCTGGCTGTCGCAGGAAAATTATTATTTTTATAGAAAAGGGGTTTTAGAAGGAAGCCTCAGGGCCTGTAATCCAAACACTCTGGGAAGCTGAGGCAGGAGGATTGCAAGTTCAAGCCCAACTTGGACTATTTAGCAAGACCTCATCTAAAAATGAAAAAACAAGTCACAAAAAGTGCTGAGGTACAGCTTAGTGTAAAGGCCGTAGGTTCAGTATCTAGCACCAAATAATACAAATACTACTAATAATAATAAAAGAAAGAATCTGGAACAGGAATTCAGCTGTAGCAGCAGCTTCCCTGGTAAAACACTGATGCCTTTTATGGATGTGAGAGGAAAGAACGGAAAAGGGAAGCCAATAAACAGCTGGACAGCTGAAAGGGGAGAGAAAGGGGAGGGCCAGCTGAGCCGTCCGTGACCCAGTGTCAGGCAGGTTTTCTGTCTCTCCAGCTGCTGGGTAAGAATTCTAAGCGGCAGCTTCTGAGAGGCTTCAAGGCTTCCTGAAGACATGTGGAAAGGCTCAGGGGACAGAGTGCTGGCACTGTGGCTTCCTTGTCCAGTGCTCCGCTGCTCAGCTGAGGGAGCACTCGGTGCAGACTCAAGTTCTCGAGTCAGGTGCGTGGGGCCAACATGCCCCAGTATTCCTGATGCGGTCCCACCCAGCCTTGCCTCATCCATTCAGCCACCTGTCATTGTCTAGTGCACCTGTGACTCAAAGCACCAGTACAGGTGCGTATGTGGCTGCTGTGACCCTCGGGAAAGGAAGGCTCCTGGGCACGTGGCTGAAGCCTTGGGCTGGGAGAGCGTGGTCATACAGGGTGAGGGCATCTTCCTTGGGCTTCAAGCCTTGTGAGCTATTTACAGATCTCTTACTTTGGGTATCTGGCTGACTTTGCTGTGTTGACTATTTTAAAAAAAAGAAGACATGCTTTCCGGAGCCATTTGTGTTCTTGACTCCCTGTCCATTTTGGTCCCTCCCTCTGCTGGGCTCCAGTTTTCCCCTGAGGAGGATGTGGGAGACACCAGTCTGTCTTCCCCCTCAACTTTTCTGCCCTTCATCAGGGCTGGGCTTGTGGGATTTTGATTTGGAGGAAGTGACTTGGGAATTGAAAGTGACATGGACTTGCCTTGGCCACCAGGTGAAGACAGTTTGCTTCCAAGTGAGCCAACAGAAAGCAAGCAGAGCTGCTGATGCAGCAAAGAATCCACACTTTGTTCGAACCCTTGATCCAGCCCTACACTCTCCCAGGTCCTTCTCATAATGTGAGACAAGAAATGCTCGGTTCTACCCAATGGGTTGGGTTCCTGTTCCTGGTAAGCAAAGGGATCTAACTGCATTAGGCCCAAGAGATACCACCATAAAAGGGTTGTGACCAGGGCAAAGCTCTGCCTCACCGATGTGCTGGGCACAGGTGTCACAGTATTCCGCGTACAAGGACTCAAAGCAGTGGCAGCAGTAGGGCCTTCCCTCCTTCATGATATAGCGCTGGCCGCCCAGCACCGTCTCGCACTCGAAGCAGCAGAAGTGTTTCATGTGCCAGTGCCGCCCCTCCGCTTCGGTGCATTCGTCTGCGAAGATGATCTGGAGATGGGAAGCCTAGTGGTCAGTGCCTGAGACCCAGTTCTGAGAACCCACCTCAGAGGAGCAAGGGGAGGGGCCCAAGGTAGAAGGCAGAGAGCAGGTCTCCCTACAAATCCTTAAATGAAAGCGTGCGTGTGTGTGTGTGTGTGTGTGTGAGAGAGAGAGACAGAGAGAGAGAGAAAGAGAGAGAGAGTGAGAGAGAGAGAGAGAGAGAGAGAGAGAGAGAGAGAGAGAGATTCTACATCTACATCTGCTGCCACACTTGCATTTTCCCAAAACAGTGAAATACTGTGTGAGGCCTGACCAGCAGTGAACCTGACCACCCTTAAGGGAGACGAAGGGTGCTGGGTCTCAACGTCTCAGGACAGGCTGTGCACAGGCACGCTGGACGTGCACAGGGCTCTTTAATAATGGGGAAGTCACAGGAACCTCTGGGGTTCGGGGTGCTGCTCTGAAACATCACTCTGGGTCATGCCCAGACACAGTCCTGCCTGGCACAAGAGAATCAGAGCATGAAGGAGGGGCTGCTGCCCTCAGACAGGCGGAGGTGACTGGGTCTGTCACGGGCTTCATCACTCCTGGCCGAATGACAGAGGGAAAGTCTCACTTAGGTGCACTCCCGACCCCTGGGGCAGCTGCGTCTTTGAACTCGATTCAGAGTTGTTTGACATTTTAAAGCCCAGATATCAAAATGCGCTACTGCTTAGCTGCATTTGCAAGCTGGTGTGGGACTGGCATAGGATGGACACACAGGGGAAGGGGACAGAACCGAAAGCCCAGGAACAAGTCCACACAGGTAGGGTCAGCTGATCGTCAGAAGGGGTGCTGAGACCATTCCTGGAGAGAGGAGGTCTCTGCTGCAGATGGCCTGGGACAACAGGACAGCTGCTCACAAAATCAGCAATTTGAACCTCTACCTCCATCACATATAAAATTAACTGAAAGGAGATTAAAGGCCTAAATGCAATGGGAAAAAAGATACAGCACTACGGAAAAAGAAAAAAGAAAAAGAAAAACCCAGGCGGAAATGCTGACCACAGACTAGGCAATGGTATTTTAGATGGCACTAAAAATACAATTAACAAAAAAACAGAATCCACCAAAGCTAAAAACCTTTATGGCTCAAAGGAAGAAAATGAAAATACAAACAGAATGGGAGAACATATTTACAAATTATGTATCTGACAAGGGGCTATATAAAGAATTCAACTCAGTAGTAAAGAGAAAAATAACCCAACAAAGGCATAAGTAGATATTTCTCAAAAAAAAAAAAAAGAAAAGAAAAAGAAAAAACTCAGAAGTAAAGATGCTTAACATTATCAGCAGTTACGGAAGTACAAATAAAAATCTCAGTATGATACTACTTCATGCATGCTAGGATGACAATAATAAAAAATATACACAATTAAAGTGCTATCAAAAATGTGGAGAAATTAGAAAACTCAGGCATTGATGGCATGAATGCAAAATGGTGTAGCTATTTTAGGAGATCGTGGGGCATTCTCTCAAAAAGTTAAATTTAGATTTATCATATGACCCCACCAATTCACTCCTGGGTGTACACTCAAGAGAAAAATGTATGGATACACAAAAACTTATTCATGAATTTTCATAAGCAATACTTTATAATAGCTAAAATTAGAAACAAAATTGCCTATTAATTGCTAAATGGTTAAGCAAAAGGTGATATACACTTATAACTGTCCGTTATTCAGCCATGAAAAAGAATAAAGCACTCTATATACTATAGCATGGGTGAACTTTGAAAATGTATTAAGCAAAAAGCCTTCAGACATCAAAGGTTACATAATCATAGGATTTCTTTAAGGTGAAATACTTGGCATATGTAAATCCACAGAGTCAGAGGACACAGCAGAAGCTGTCAGGCACCGGGTGGAGGAGAATTTGGAGCAGGAGGTGTCTCCCAATAGATAGGGAATTTCACTTGGGCTGATAAAAGTGGTCACTAAAACTGAGTGAACCGCTTATCTTAGATGGATGGCTCTCAATGCTATGGAAACTATCTCAGTAGGCGAAGCCTTCAAGGTACATTTCACTTCCTTTAGTCATTGCATTCTCTTTGCCTGTGAAGAACATATTGCTTCGCTTCCAGCTGGGAACAGGAGGCATGGACGTGAAGCTGGGCCTGAATTCAAGGTTCCCGTTCCCTGGTTCTCTAGCATGTGACTCTGGCCACCAGAGCCCACATCGGTTGAGTGCGATCAGGTCCTTCCTAGAAGAGTGACGCTCTGGCAGCTAAGAGAGGCACCCACATCCTGGTAGATTCTGGCTGGACAAGGGAGCATTACCACTCAGAGTGCTGTTTATGAAGGTCACACAGATACAAAACGATCCTCTGGACAGGAAGAAACTGATTTCTAAAGCTTTCCCCCAAAAGATTCCTGCAGAAGTGGTCAGGGTTAGAAAATTCTGTTTCACTCCCAACTTAGAAAGCTGAGCCTGCATTTTGATATGTTGCCTACAGCCCGTGCTGGGACTGGCTTTTGGGGGAACGAGGCAGGGGTCTGTGTTCTGTGCTGATTTCTCAGCTGATCTTTCAGATGCTCTGGAGTGTCCACCTGTCTCCAGAATTTTCATTCAGAACTTCTGTAAGTGCTGGGGGGGGCGGGAATAAAACCCACCACTCCTTTTCTCCTCCTGTCCCACCAAAACTTCAACAAGCAGCACTCCGTTCCTGATGATTAAACCCTAGGCGTTAGGCTGATGTCTGCCTACAACTGCTCAATGAGCTGTTTAAAAATATAAATGTAAGAGTTCTGAACAGAACCCCCAAGGGCCGGTTGTATAAAGCTGGGCACTTCCCTGGCCATCCTAGCTGAAGTACTCTGCCTTCCTTGAGGCCACTACCGAGACATTCTAGCCATTGGGGTGGGAAGGAGCCCCTCTCTGGAAAGAGGGTGGGCAGCTGCCTGTGGTGTGCGCTCTGTGCAGGAGGCCACAGGGCATCGTGTGCAGGTGGAGCCCTGGCCAGCTGAGGGTGTGGGAAGGTGAACCGGCAGAAGGCAGGGGCTCTGACCTCGTCGCAGGCCGCGCAGCGTGGCTTCAGGCATTCCGCGTGATGCCTGCCACAGTAGATCTTCCCGTCTTGGTAAAAGTAGATCAAATCTACCAGGAGCTCATTGCAGACGGTGCATATGAAGCAGGGCGGGTGCCAGCAGACGCCATGGCCAGCGCGTGACGCGAAGACAGCAATGTCCCCGCCGTTAATCTGGCCTCCACACTGCAAGGCAGACAGAAACATCAGTCCCAACTCTGGCCAGCTGTCTGATGCTGTGCACAGGTGGCCAGCACCCGGTTATCAAGCATCTGTTCTCCCACCTGTCACTGCTTCATGGAGTGGCACGGCAGGTTCCTGCCACCCCCTTCCCAGGGCCTCCAGAAGATGGAGGTGAAGTGACAGACACCGAGGGATCACTAAGGTGAGAGGAAGAGACAATGTTCCGCAGCACAACGTGGGGCCCTGTGGGTGAGAGGCCAGCGTGGAAGGGGGTCTGTTTTGTCCTAAATATTCCCAGCGGCACACAGAGGCTTGGCAGAGACTTCTGCCACAGGGACAGGCTGGGGCGAGGGGGCTGCTCGGAGGAGGGCACAGGTAGGGTGTGTGAGCAGGGATGGGGCTTACACTCACCCCCCAACTACCACTGTCTTCTCCCAGCCCTTCAGGAGCACTGTTAGCACCTCTGCAGCTCCTTAGAGGAGTCTTACCTGAAGGGCACTGCTTTCAAGGCCAGGGTGGGAGAGCATTTCTTGAGTGTTCCTTTTGTACCCCCCACCCCTGCTCTTTTTGCAGAGTACCCTATACTGCCCAGCAAAGGGCAAAGCAGAATCACAGATGAGTCTGCTTAGGCTGGGGCTGCAATGAGTATGCTTGAAGGGTCTTAGAGGGAGGAATAAAGGGGGAAGAGGAGGTTTAGGGAGGGGTTCTGTTATCCTGTTATCATACTTCAAAGGAGGCCATAGCCTCATGGAAAAGTCTGTGGGACCAGAAATAAGAAATTGTGTTATGGCAAGCACCATTCCTATGGTTCACGATGACCTCAAAGAGCCAAACTGTACACAGAAGACTCCATTTAATTATTCCTGCTGTTCTACCAAGTCTAGCATCCCCATTACATGATGACAAAACCCAGGACAAGGAACATGGTCAAGGTCATCTGGTGGAAACACGAGCGGACTTAGGAAAAGTCCTTCAGCTTCCATGGCCTCAACACTATTCCATGCTAGGCCAGCACATGCCCAGGAGATGCCCAAGCTTTCTTCCCCCACTCACCAGGAGCCCATCCGAGGGTGATGTAGGTCTGAATTGAGGACAATGATCCTCATGTCATCAGGGCACTTTAATGGGTCCTGGCTCGGTGCTGCTTGAGGGAACACCAGCATCTCAAGGGCAGGCCTCAAGGATGCTTTCCAAGGATGAAGACCCTACTGCCACCCTTCTGGTGAAGAGATTCTCCATCCCACCTACTTGGGCCTCCTCATTCCTATTTAGTGAGCCAAGGACCCTCCCGCAGCATGTGCAAGTCCATCCAGAGTGCAGAGAGAGAGATGGCATTGAAAGTGGTAGCACTTAGTGCTTTTGGAAGCTGAGAGGTAGGCAGGGCCCAGACAGGGTGGGTTCCTGCCTTCTCTTCTTTCAGACCCTCCCCTACCATGCCCTGAGCACCATGTAGGAGAGTGGGAGAAAAATCAAATTCCCATTTGTTGATTCGGGGAGCTCCTGGGAGAATGCAGAGAGCTTCTTGCATTCAGATACAGAGCTCACAGATCTGAAAGACCAAGTGCCTCCCCTTTAAAGGGCACCATGGATCCCATGAAGATGTGGAAAGAATGACTGACCAATGGCCCAGCAAGCTCCTTTACCAAAAGCGGTCACTTCAAGATACGAATTTATCACATTGCTCCTCTGGTCAGTCTTCCAATGGCGAAGACAGCATCCATAAACTCTGACTATATCTTCCCTGGGAGCACAGTGGCCACCCTCCTCAGAGGCAGGACCTCTGGGCTGGCTGTCCCCTCTGCCCGTCGTCTGCTCCCTGCCTCCTCACTTCTGAAACTTCAAACCATCAAAATGAAAAAGTGAGTGTGAGGGTACCAGAACAGCTCTGTTCCCGCCCAGGAATGCACAGTCACCTGCTCACAAATGGCTCCAGTCATGGTGACAGGGAAGGGCCTGACATTCCCTCGGCCCAGATTCTCACGTTTCCTCTGATTGCTGAACAGCTTCAGCTCCCTCTTCTCCTCCTCATCCAGGGAGTTGCAGTATCGGACCTGGATACACAGAGCACAGTGGGCATGGGTCATACCGAGGGTTTCTCTGCTGCACCTGCTGCCACTGGGATTTACAGGCCTGTCCGAACTTTAATGGGCCCCAGCTTGGCGCTGCTTGAGAGAAGCCTTTCCCAAGACTGGTGACAGCCAAGGGAGCACCTGAAGTCTGGAAACAAGTCCTGGAGGCTGTTGGTTCTGCAGCTTCTCTGCATGCTGGCCTCTCACCCTGCTCATCACACCTGGTCACATCAGGAGCAATGGCTCCATGCTGGAAAAGTTAATTTTCTTCCAAGGCACAGGGACCTAAGGCCTTCAGCTATTTGTGCCCATGGAAATGATCCCTAGCATTAAGAATGGCACCAGCCAGTGATCAAGACTGGGGTCAATATGCTCATAGCTTCTGTCCTCCTCCTCCATTAGGAGGTGGGGACCTTGAGGCCTGAGCCTGTGAAGCTGTGTGACACTGTGGGAATACACTGAGGGTGTCTGGGTCTGTGTGGGGCTGTCTGCTGGGTTCCAGTGAGTGTGACAACATACAAATGGCATTTTCTTTCTTGCTAGACCAGAAACTCACAGAGTGAAGGCAGGGTCATTACAAACATTCAAATCCAACATTTTCCATTCTTGTTGCTTATTTCTGCACAGTTTGGCAACTGCACACATGCATGAGCAATCATTTAGTAATCCTAGATTTAAAAGGGACTTGCTTTAAAAAAAACTTGAATATATTATCTAAAGTGTATTACAACACACATAGAATGCAATAACTTGCAAAAAAAAAAAATGGAGGGTGACCATGAAAGTAGAGCACACAACCACATTGTTAGACTCTAGCTGGTTACTGTGCCTGCAGGGGAACTTAAATCTGAGATCCCTTGTGATCCTACTGGAGACTAGCCCAGGGTAGAGAGGTGTGAGATACTTGCTAGGACCAAAGCGAAATCTCCTCCTGTACTTAGTCACCTGAAGGCAACTCTCTCCCCATAAGCTCAGTTTTATTTTCACCATGTCAGTATTCCACACTAGGCCACATCACGCTGCCCTCTGGGGAATATGGCCCTAACCCATCTGCCATTCCGGTCTGGAGCAACCTGGACACCAGAAAGGGTTCCCCATGTCACGCTGATGATGTGTCACAAAGGTAGTTAAAGCAAAACCTGTCACCTAGGAGCGCTCTTCTCTAATCTGAAACCAGCTCAGCTGTGACTATCTGAGTGATCTTACTTGGAAGATCACATACTGACTATCTAATCACTGTTTGTCTCCAAAAGGGCAATGTCAATGGGGCTAATTCTTCTGCCCACTGGGTCCCTGTACTACACTCCTGCCAACAGGAAGTGGTCATCCGAATGTCTTCTCTTCACAAAAAGCACTGCTGATCACACACAAAATAAACCACTCAAGGCAGAGAAGAGCAGATCGCGTCCCACCTTCAAGTAAAAAGCTTTTTTTTTTTTTTTTTTAAATGCAGCATAAGAATATTAGACAGAGAACTGCAGTGACCTCTCTGGCCCAGGACACACATGGTCCCACTGCTGACATTTTAGCTGGCATTTTATGTGCGTGCCTTTAAAGAGAGGCACACCCCTCCTGCTTGTAAAAACCTGCATTTTCATTTCCAAATTCGCTAAACAGGGTGTCAGGTTACAATGTTTGCTCCTAGCTTTAAAGGAGAACACATTATTTATATGTGCTATGAAGGCTGATGTAAGCAGCACGTAAAGAGAATCACAGCTTTCCTCCCAGGGAGCTGCTTCAGTTTTTAAGTGTCATTCTTTCATTTATTTTCTGAGCTGAGGTGCACAGGAACTCCTGTGTGCTAGGCAAGTGTTCTACCACTGAGCTACACCTCCAGCCCCTAACATTGATTTCTGAGGCTCCCAAATGATCTCCTGTGTTGGAATATGGAAAGACATGATACAGAGCACTCCCTCACGTCCTCTCGGACCAGCCTGAGGACTGGAGGGCTGGGGAAATTGGTGCCCAGCTCTCTGCAGGGACTCCTTTTCTTTCAATTTAAAATTATACTCTTGTATCAAATGCAGTCTGAGTTAGGCGACACAATGTAATAGGATTGCGCATTTTTAAAAATCAGACAACTAAAAATTAATTTCCAGTTTACAAACCTGATGCCTTCCAGCACGCTCTTTTAAAAGAGGATGCTTACAAATTTCCATTTATGACCAATGCGATTTCAAGAAAATGCCTGTTCAGAGTAGCTCCCGGGTTCAGAAGGAGGGCAGTCCGAGAGCCAAGTTTTCCAAGGCACAGATCCTAACAAGCCAGACTTCACTGTGACAGAAATCCCAGATGTGCGGAAACACTGACATGGACACATAACTTCCCCCGCAGTGCAATGTGGGAAAGCTGCATATTTCTTTAATATGAAATGAAGCCGCAAACTTAAGAGACTCACAAAGTTTTTGCAGGGCTCGCAATGACCCAGGGAACCTCAATCATCTCCCCAGCACACGCAGGCAACCAGCAGGACACATCCTTCTTCCACTCAGAAACCTAGGGCCTGAGTTTTTAACTTGTACCCTGCCAGGCACAGAGGCTAATCCAGTCTTTAATGAGGCTATGGCTTTTGGCCACACTCTCCAAAAAAGTGTTGGTCTGTTTCCTTTGGCTCTAAATTAAGGAAACTAAAAACCTAAGAGAAATTGCCAGAAGTTTTCTCCATCAATCTCACTGATCACAGTTCCCTGACTGTAACGAAGGGCACCAGGCACAGAGCTCCAGGAACTGGCTTCCCAAGCCCCTCTGCCTCTCCTTACCTCATTGTCGTGTGGTGGCAGCTGGTGGAGGAGCTGCTTGATGCGCAATTTCTCTCCAGGGCTGTTGACATACGGAACTTTCTCTTCAGGGAGGCAGCTGTAGTACTGGTGCACCTGAAAGACAAAGTACACAGAGACTCACCCACCACTCTCAGTTTGTGCCCACATCCTTCTCCTGGGGTGCAGATTCCCCCAAGAGGAGCCAATCCACTTCCACTGCTCCTGCGTTCCTGCGTTTCCTATGACCAGCTAGGAACTCATTTTGAAGAAAGAGCCAAGCTAGTAACCCATAACGTCAGGGGCCTCCCGTATCAGGAAGGGAAAAGGAAAGCCATCAAACTTTCTTAGCAAAGGAGAAGTTTGCGAACATTCTGGGGAAGCCAGGGGACGGGGCTTCCCTGGGACTCCCTCCCAAAAGTCGCTTTACCATTTTCTGCAAGTCTCCAGCATTTTCTGCAAGTCTGCCAGTCTCTTGGCACCTCCCTAGCCAAGGGATATGTCAGCGCCTGTCTGGGCACTGCAGTCACAGCTTGTCTCTGGCGCTGGCTCGGTGGACTGGGGTGCTCAGCCTCCACCTACGTTAAAAGCCCTTAGGTTCTGAGCCATCCACACAGCAGGAAGCAGCTGACATCCATCAGAAAAGGGACTCAGTAATTCGGGGTGCAGAGCATGGAATTCAACGTCATCCACATGAGGACTTTTGCCTCCTCTGATGTTCCTATTTGTGACTGTTAGGATACAGTCCTACACTTTCTGAGCCTTGGTCAATCTGAATAGTTGGGGAAAGCACCAAGCATCTGATTTTGCCAAAGATCAAAACAAAGCTTTTATCACCCAGCCACATGTCAAATGAGGAAAAGGAACAACTGACCAAAGAGGAGGTATGTTATCATGCAGGATAAGCAGAAATAAAAATTCTGATAACATCATGGGAAAGACTTCTGAGTATCTCTTTCTTAGTGCTCTGAATGGCTCTTGGGAAACAAGGCACTCATTTAACGACCGGAAGAAGGCAGAGCTGCAGGCTCCGGCTCCATCCTCTTCATCACACTCCACGCACTGGTCTGATTCCCTGTGTTTGGGGAGAGCTCGGGTATGAACACATGCTCTGGGAATGCTGGGGTGAAGAGTTGCAAAAGCTCTGTCTACTTTGATCTCTAGAAACTAAGTCATGAGTGTTAGAAGAAACAGCAGGAAAGGGCTTGTGATGACAGGGCCTTAAAAAATGTGAATGCCATCTTTATTTTCTTAGACCAATGATGGGAACCATTCACCATCATGTCCTATCATCCTCCAAATCAAATCCCAAAGGCAACCACAAACAGACCTTCGACCCAGACTGGCTGGCTTCATTGGGCAGGGCCCTAGCAGCCTATCTCCAGAGGTCCCTGGCCAGAAGCCACATTCCAGATGAGAAGGAACAGTTCTGGGTTTGCAGCTCATGGATTGCTTGTACTCCTGGGAAAAAGCAACAGCCCACGTCATAAGTTGGTTTGGGATTAGGAACTGGTTATTTGCTCCCTTGGGACTGGCCTGCTTTTCCTGGACTGTGTCTTCACAGTCCCTGGAGCTTCAGCTTCTTGGAGCATGAGGCAGGTATGAGGAAGCAGGATGGGTCTCTGTGTCTCAGGGAGTAGGCTTTGCCTCCCAAATCAGAATACTGCTTGTAGAAAGGCCATGTTCCAACATCACCCTATCATCCTGACAACTCTGACTACAATCCCTGAACATCAAGAACCACTGTAACACAGAAGGAATCACTGTTGATGCTTGAACATGCAGGGTATTTGGTGCCTGTCTGATCCTCCTCCTAATCACCCCTCATTTCTGTCACATTCCTCTCTTCACTGGCCAGCACAGTTGTCCTGAGAGCCCTTCTGAGCTAGCACCTTGAACTCAGCCTGCTGTGATTGTGTCCACAGCTGCTCAAGTTGGAACCCTCTCTGCACCTGGCACAGCACGGCAGACAGAGTTGGACGTCGGGCTGTGGCTCTGGCATCTCCCATCTTTGCACTTCTGGGTAAGTTACAGAGCTGTAGGAATACTTATCAGACAGGATGAATAAGTGAGAGTGGAGGCCAAGCAGGTGGCCCTTAAGCACGGTAAGTAACATGAATACCTAGCAAAAGTAGTATCTGGCTTGGCCTCATCCAAATGGAACATTCCAGATGCTTCTTGGCCTTCCTTCCATTTCAGATGCATGTTAATACTGGTGCTGTGCACAGTAGGACCAGGCTGTGGGCAACACCACCTCGGCGAACCAAGAACAATACACTGCAGGAAACATAATGACACTAAAACTTGCTTTGTTTCCAAAGGAAAAAGACAAATTATTACAAAAGCGTGTGCTTGGTTAAGAGCCCCAGCAGTACTGTAGGAACTCAGGAGGAAATAGAACATGGTATGATGACAACTTTACAGGTCCTGAAAATATTTACTCCAAGCAGGTCTGCAGGATGTGTCAGAAGACGTTCGTGGGGAATGGTGTCCTGCGGTTCTGCCCTGGATGAGGACATACCAGGCACACTTCCCTGGAACAAAAGGATCTGAACATGATATGCTGTCTTATGAAAATTAAATAGCTGAAGGTCTTTGTGTAAGGTGTCACGCCCTCACAGGGAAGCTTGGCGGCAACTTCAGTCAGTGCCAGATGGATTGCAAGAATTTTACTCAGTGGGCAAATACACTCTCTCTAGCCAGGCCTCGCCCAGCTGAAAAGACCGAGCTTGTTAGAAGGAAGTGGATGGTTGACACCACTTCTGCCTGTGCCCAAAGAGGGAAGCTGGGGACTCAGGGACTCTGCATGTGGGAAAAAAGTGTGCTTTTTAAAAAGTGGGCAAAGTACTTTAGGTAGCAGTTCTTCAATGAACTGCAGCTTGCACGGGAATCCTGACTTCTAATTCAGAAGTCCAGGCTGCGGCCGTGTGATTTGCCTTTCTCCCCACTCCAGGCCCTGCTGCCGCCCCAGGAACCGTGCTTGAAGAGTCCTAGAGAATCATCTCATCACTTTCCCTCAATAACCAACCTGATGCAGTTTAAGGTAATGATGAGGGTTTTTCTCTAAGAAATCCAGGAATTTTAGAGGTTGGGAAAGAACTTGCTGGAACTTGGTCAATTTTTCAGGTGTCTCTTCCTGCACCTAGATAGATGGTTAAACAGGGAGAGTCCACCAGGCCCAGTGAGAATGGAAAATGCTATGCAAACTTAAGAGAAGTTAGGACTCACACAGCTGGATGGGAACATTTTCTACATCAGAAGCTCTCCTGGTTGATGTCAAAATCAATTGTTCTCCATTGTCTACATGAAGAAAGAGACTAGTGAGCTATTTGTTTACTGAGTGGCTCTTAAGCCTGAGTGTTATTATACACAGTTGTTTCACAAGCGTTTCTGGCACCCAAGAGCTGGGTATTTCACTCACTGACTGAATTTCACAAAATTCCACAGGGGCAGATTCACCTTTCTCCTTGGCATCCTCCCCCTGCTCCTCTGTTCACTGTGGATTCTTGGGCTTTATTAGGAAAAAGACACTGGCAGGAAAATGAAGAAAGGCAAACAAACAAACAAACAAATAAATGAACATATGGCTGACCACAGAAATGGTGACTGTTCCCTTTCTGTTTGTTGTAATGTCATATCATAAAGTGCCCCAATAAATCCAAAATGAACTTACTATGAGTAAAACATGTTCCTGGCATTCATCAGTCTTCCCATGACACTCCGGCCTCATGGGGTCACCCAGCTATGGCAGAAAAGGCCACGTCCACTTTCCATTTTTCCTCAACAAAAATACCATAATTTTATTCAGTGCCCCAGTGTGGCTGACTAAGAACAATATCTCTACTTCCTGGTAGCCACACATGACTGTGAAGAGAGTGTGGCTTGTGACACATAAGACGTGACTTGGGAAGAGCTCTGCTGGGGAGGCCAAGCGGCTGGCAGAACGAGTCCCTGTCTGCTCATCCTTCCTTCCCCCATCTGAAAGGCAGGCTGGATTGCTGGAGCTCTGGCAGCCCATACTGTCCTATGGTCACCTTAAGAATGGAAGCTACGAGCTGAGGACCAGAGGACAGAAAGTTAGGAGCCCTGTCTCTCTGATTACACCCCAGAGCCACCAGACCAGACCTGGACTACATTTCCTATCTTGAAACTTCTTGCACCAGTGAGAGAAATAAGGGATTTCTTTGTTTACAGTCTGTATGACTGAAGAGTGAATGCAACATCTAAATGATGCACCCACTGGCCTCACATACCAGCGTCCTCCAGCGTTACCCCAAGCCCTTAGTGAACACTGCTGCCGTTTTCTCCCTTCTGGGTCTCAACAGAGCCTGCATCTCTCAAACACCTTCCCATGTGCCAGGGCACACACAGGTTCAGTGGGGAGACCTGACCTGAGGTGACAGGTCCTGAAGTTTACAGGACCTGTCGGTTTACAGCAAAGCTATCTCCACCCAGCGAGTAATGAGAAGACCAGGGCCTCTGTCTCACGTTCTCCCTCGCCTGCAGCTTCCGGAGCCTGCAGCTCTGGCTCCTGGGGCTCAGTTTGGGGCTACATCTGTAGGGGAGAGGGACAGGCAGATGCTGCCCCAGTGGGTGGCAGGTGCTGGGCTTCCTGGTTCCCACATAGGAGTTTGGGGGCAGCGGGGAGGTGTCACATCCACCAGAGTGGGGCGGGCAGAGACCTTGGAGGGCCTGTTTGCTTGCTTAGCCCCTTCTGGCCAGGATTTCACTAACTCTGCAGCAGAAAGGTGTGGCAGAGAAGCTTGGAAGAGGAGAAATCCACCAAATTGGACTTCTCTTTTCCTCCAGGAGGCCAGCATTATAATTTTAATTGGCTTAGTCAGGAAGTAATTAAGGATACAACAGTCTAATACCTAATGCCTAAACAATGTTTCTCTCATGCTGAAGACTTCTGCAGGATTAGGATCATGCTCAGAAATGAAAGCCCATTTGGGGTATTTTCAGAGAAGAATCTTTGGAATCCCTTTTTTCCCTTGTCCCGCTGTCTAATGCAGCGGCAAATCCCATCAGGTGTAGGCCTGACACATATCCAGAAGCTAGAGCTGCTGCTTGACCACTCCCACCTGACCGCCTGAGTGGGAAGTTGCCATCTCTGG